TAGCCAGCCTGCTGGGGAATTCTGGGAGTTGGAGTCCACCCCTCTTAAAAGGATGCTGGCTGGGGGATTCTGGGAGTTGAAGTCAATCAAACTGAAAGCATGCTGACTGGGGGATTCTGGGAGTTAGAGTCCATACCTCTTAAAAGGATGTTGGCTGGGGGATTCTGGGAGTTCTGGAGTCCACCCGTCTTATTTCAGTGTTTACTCAACCGTGGGAAAATTTTAAGAGGTGTGGACTTCAACTCCCAGAATTCCCCAGCTGGGAATTCTGTGAGTTCTGCAACCAGCGTGCTGGGGAATTCTGGGAATTAGAATCCACCCATTTTCAAGCATGCCGGCTGGGGAATTCTGGGAGTTGGAGCCAATCAAACTTAAAGCATGCCAGCTGGGGGATTCTGGGAGTTGGAGTGTCCCGTCCCGTCCCCTCTTAAAGGGGCCAAGCTGGAGATTTGCTGGTTGGGAATATTAAAACGCTTCCAAAGCCGGGGAGATGCTGGGGGATTGGTGAATAGGGACACACACACACACACTCCTTGAGAATTTGGGGGGTGGGGGGGAGAATCTGTTCTTCCTCAACTCAGAAGTTTTGTCTACGTTGCCCTGCCAGGCCTGGGCCCCCTTAAAAAAAAAACACCCCACCGTTCTGCTTTGTTCCTTCCCCAGAGCCCTGCGCAAGGCCCTGAGCCACCTGGAGATGCGCCGGGCTGCCCGCCGTCCCAACCTGCCGGTGAAGGTGAAGTCGGTCCTGCCCCTCCGGCCCCTGGGGGCTCCCCTGTTGCCCGCCCCCGCAGTCCATCCTGCCAGCACCAGCGAGCCCATCGTCCTGGAAGACTGAGTGCCGAGCTCCTCCCTCAGCCCCTCTAGCAACCCGCTCGCCACCTCGCTCAGCAGCCCCGCTACGATCCACGACGCCCGAGGGCCCTTCCGAGACTCCCTTCGCCGAGCCGTCGCTGGCTTAACGGGCCGGGAGTGGGGGGGGGAGGGGGTGCGGCGGGGGGGTGGCGGGCGCGCCTGCCCTCTTCCCCAGGTTGGGTCCTCTCTTTTTTATATATAAATATATTTTTAATTTCCACATTTTACATTTGTACTTCTCTCCTCCCCTTCCCTTCCCTTCCCTTCCCCTCCCGGCTGATCCGAATGCACAAAAGTTGCCTGGATCCGTATTTTTTTTATTTTTTAGGGGCGCCCTCGTTTTTTGTTTTTTTTTAGTTTTTTCCGCCTTCCTCCTCGTTTAGGGACGGGGTGAGGAGGCGGACGCTAGGAGAGGTGTGGGATTGGGAGGAGGAGAAGGGGTCTCCCTTTTCAACCACTGGATCGCTTCCCCCCCCCCCCTCTTTCTTTCTCTGTGTCGGTTGTCCTTCTCGGATCCCCTAAAATCTGTCCCTCCCAAAAAACCCTCCTCTTCCCCAATTTGGGAACAAGGAGCCTTGGCGATTCCTTGTTAACGTGGCCATCTTATAAATCCCCCCCCCCCCCCCCTTTCCCCTCTTTCCCCCCCCCTTCTTTGACGAATTCCCTTTTTTTTGTACATGGTTTGGAGAGCAAAAAAAAAAAAAGTCAGGTTTTTTTAAAGTCAGCCTCTGGTTCTTATAACAATGACAACAACAAAAAAAAGAAATAAATGCCGTTTTCTTCATTCCTTTCTCTTGGTCGTGGTTTTTTTTTGGGGGGGGAGAAGCAAGAACTGGGGAGGGGGTCTTTACTTCGAAGCCCCCCCCCCCCTCAATGACTGCACTGACTTTGATAAGGGCTTGATCAAAGTCAGACACTTTTTATTGCGTCCAGGAAAAACAAAAATATGCAGAGAAGCTTCTGCTATTGTGGCTAAAAGTTTGTTTGGGAAGTTTATCCGACTTAATTGTAGAAGCCGGTTGAAAGGTAGGATAAACTGCAAAACTGGACTTTGCCCAGGCAAAAAAATATTTTTACCATCACCTTTATTACTGTTATATGGGCTGTGGGGTTAACTTTGTTTTTTTACTATTTTTATTTATCTCTATTTTCTGCAAGCCGACTTGAGTCGCTGTGAGCAAGTAGGCAGCAATATAAATTTTCCAAACTAATAGGTATGTAAGCGAAGGCAAAGAAATATACTGAATATACTTTCTTCCACCTATTTTCCCCACAACAACCTTGTGAGATGGGTTTAGGGCTGAGGGAGAAAGGGAGTTGGCCTAAATAACCCTTGTCAGCTTTTATGCCTAAGGCAGGACTAGAACTCCCAGTCTCCTGGTGATTGACCCAAAGTTTCCCAGTTGGCTTTCATATCTAATGACAAACTAGAACTCCCCGT